CCCATCCCATCCCCATTTCTGAAGAAAGGTCTAGGCCCGAAACGTCGGCCTTCCTGGTCCTCTGATACTGCTGTGTTCATCCAGCTCTACACCTTGTTATCTCAGAATCTCCAGCATGTGCAGTTCCTACTATTCATGGACATTTTGCAGGGAATCCATGAAAGAATGTGAAAAAGACCCATTACTGTATTAGCGTGAGTCATTTTTGCACTGTAAGGCATGATTGTGATTTCCTTTATCCACTCGAACAGAACAGCCAAGAGCCCACGCATTGGGGCCTGGTGCATTCTCACACTGCGAGACCTGGTAAATGATTGTGTTTGGTGAGCTTCAGACGATCTGAGGATCCCACAGGGGGAGATGATCAGCCCCAAAGGCATCAAGAATGGATACATGGGACTAACACTGGAGGAAGGGTGGGGAGGAGCCACCACATTAGCCTTCTCGAGGGGCCTGGAATGACCCTCATGCTGAAATATAAGTAAGGTAGCTGGAGCTGGACTAAAACTGTGGCCCCATTTGCTGGTGGTGTCCTGATGGCAGAAATGCCTGCATGTAGCAGTGATATTCTATTGCATCCAGGCTACTAGCCAGCAGACTGAGAGGAAATTTCCTAAAACTGTATAGTAAATGTGCAGTGCAGGCAGGATGTGCTGTGCAGTATTGTGAACAGTGCTGCGCACTTGAAAGCATTCAGAAGACCATGCCTGGTGCATACTGAAAGGTGCTTTCAGGTCTGTCCAGGCATTAAGTGCATTTTCAATGTGACCTTCATTGCATTATCCTGGGTCTGATTTATTTTTCATTTAACCTATTTTTCAAATCAACCTGTTCAGAGACATTATTACATTCCTCAGGGACAGGAGGGATTTGAATCTGGGTCTCTTGGCCCAGGGCTAGGCACACTACCACTGTGCCAGAAGAGAGCCCCCTTCTCTGGGTCTCATGGGACTTGAGGGAAATTGGGAGCAGATGGGAAAATCGAATTGAGGCCACAGATCAGGTTGTATTAAATCGTGGGGGAGGGAGAGCTGTGAAGGATGAGCTGGTGCTGACCGTGCTCCCGCTACAGTTGATGCTGCCATCATGGTTCTCAGCTGAGGTTGAGAATAACATGGACAGCACCCCTGATGTTCTCCAGATCAGAACTCTAAAGTTCATGTCGGAAAAACAAACCTTCAGAGTTGTCCAATTTAACTCTGCGCAAGTGCTAATTAACCCATCAATTCCTCGTGTGTTCTTGCCTTACTTTCAGGAAGTTGAGGAAACTCCTGCGCTCAAAATTAATTTGCAAATTCCACATTAAAGTTGCTGTAAGGACTGATTTTAAAATATTGAAATTAACAGGCTCATAACATCCTAGAGTTAAATGTGAAAGTTGGGGTTGGAGCGTTCACTTTTCCTGGTTTTAACATTCCACTCACTTTTTTTAGAAAAACCTGCATTAAAATTTATTCCTATATGAAATCTGCACTTGATTATATCTCTCCAATTTTTTACAAAATTTTGATTAGTCTGCAGTATGTTCCTTTATATTTGTTCATTGGATATGAGCCTCTCTGGCAAAGCTGCCATTTATTGCTTATCCCAAATTGCCCTTGAATGTGGCAATGAACTGCTGCAGTGCATGTGATGTAGGGACCCACACAGTGCTGTTAGGGAAGGTGTTCCGGGATCTTGATGAAAAAACAGTGAAAGAATGACTATCTAGCTCCAAGTTGGAGCCGCATGCTTCTCATAGTGAAGCATCCGTTCTCTGCAGTATTAAAAACACTTGTGTTCTGCCTTTTTCTTGATCAGTCACCACACTGAATTAGAAGTTTGTGGACTCAAAGCTTCATTCCAGAGTGCACAACTTTGGCTGACACTTCACTGAAGTACCAGAGCTGCTTTACTGTTGGAAGTGCTGTATTTCAGTTGAAGCTTTAAACTGAGGGTATATGTGGGAGATCCCATTGCACTAGTCAATGAAAAGCAAGGGATTGCTTTCTGGTGTCCAGGCCAACATTTATCTTTCAGCCAGTCACTCAAATAGATCAGCTAATTATTTATTTTAGTGCTGTTTATGGAGCTTGCTCTACACAACTGGCGTGCTGTATTTCTCCACGTTATAATACTGACAATGTTTTCAAATACATTGGTTGTGAATCAAGTTTAGGGTGTCCTGAGTTCATGAAAGGCATTCTCTAAATGCATGTTTTTAATAATCTACACTTCTTTCTGTACAGGCGGCACATAACCTACATGAGGATGCAGCACATTACCCACGGAAGATCCATTACCATAATCCACCAGATCTGGCTATGGAAGCTCTAGAGGTACTGAACCAAATGGACCAAGTAAGATCTCCAGGCTCTGAGTACTTGAATATCTCCTGAGGTTGTTTCAGTGCACAAATAATTCTCAGCTTCCAGTAGATGTGGGTTAGATGTACAACGATATGGATTGCATTTAAGTCTGCTAATTTTTATTTTTATTCATTCATGAATTCATTCAATTGGTAAACTTTTTTTTAAGCATCTTTCATTGTCAACACTTCTGGAAGATAAATCAGCCTTCCAGTTGCTGAATGAGTTATGACCTCAGGAATCCTTTGCCTTCTATAGTCTTTGACTTGCCTTAGACAATGGAACAAAAGACATAGCATGTTTGGACATTAAAAGCAAAAGAGAAATGGAGAATTAATTCTGTGTAATGATTAGAAAATTTCTATTTTACTTCAATAGAATGATTCTTTGCTCAGTTTGTTATCTCTATTTCTCCTTCAACCAATATTTTTGCGGGATGAGGAATTTTATTTGCCCTGTATTTGGTGACCTTTATATTTTTGTTTGATTTTTACGGTTCAGCAGTGCCACTTATTGTGAAAGAATGCTGGAACTTGATTTAATTTCAATCTTCATAGAAATTGATAGACTTCAAATATGAAGACTTAAATGTAGTTTCTGGCTATCATACTGGGGTGAACACATCATCAGAGATGGAAAGCCATTTTAAAACTAAGAAAACAGTAACTTCAAGTTGAAATCTTGTGACCAAGAGTCAGAAAAATGCATTACGATTGACCTGAGGAGTTCAGAAGTGACTGCAGGACCTTTATTTGACTTTATAGCAATTCTCTACAAGGAGAACTTGAAAAACATTTTTAATAGTTAGAGTTTGACTGGTTTCCAACCTCAGTCTGCCTGAACATCCCCCGTAAAGTAATTTAAGATTTTTCATGACAATATGTGAATGACAAAATGCATTTTCTAGTACAGTAAGAAAAATGTTTTCAGTCTGCTCAATAAATGCATCATGTGTCCTATGGGAAACTAGTGAAGATACGTAACTACAGGTCACTGTAACCAGGTTAAGACCTATTTGACCTATAGGTTGAGGATTATAGGTGCTGCTGCGAAAGTGGAGTTGATGCCACAATCGGATCTGATATGGTCTTATTGAACGGTGGACCAGGTGCGAGGGGCAGCTGAGCGGCCTACTCCCTGATCCTGTTTCTTAGCCTTACGATCCTAATCTTAATTTAGAGGACAGTTGTACATTTCTGGTTCCTGGCCAAAAGACCATATTATAACATTACTGCTTTTGTTCAACTGAGTCAAATTTTTTTATAAATTAGTGTTAGGGTTTATTTATAAATATCTTCAATTTACTGATTTAACTTATTTAAATCCCTAAAAATAGGTAAGTATTAGACTTCAGGCTTGTTGTGGATGCCTATCGCTATGTATGGCTGCATAAACTTATTTGGGTATAGGATATTTATTCATTTCAAATGTAAGATTATCTGTTATTGTAACAACATGTGTTGATGACCAGGTCTACTTCAGGCTTCATGCCTCGATTCTCAAGCTGTTGGAGAAGGATGAAGAGACTGCAGACTGTGAGATGCTCTTCAGCTACATTAAAGAAGCAGCTCAGGGGCCTTTTGCCAGCGGTGAAGAGAAGAGTACCTTTAAGGTTGCTGAGAAGTAAGTTCCATCAAATTCAGTAAACAATAGTGATGAATTGTGTATAGTTGTTGGTGGCATGAAGACAGAGCCTTACAGTTGGAGACCCTGATGCTGCGAGTTTGTTTTTCTTTGATAGTTGACAAAAACCACGTCCTTTTCACTCTCAGTAAGTGTAACTGTAAAAGATAGAAGATGTAAACCACTGAGCCCTTAAAGCCTGCTCCAACATTCCTCATTTGCCAAGATGCTGTTCACCTTCTCCCTCAGCTTCACCTTCCATCACTTTACTGGGATCCTTTGATTTGATTGGCATGCAAATGGCTATTCATCTCTGCCTTTGGATATTACTGATTGGCTGAGTATCTGCAACACTGAGTGAAGATACTTCTTCTTATCTGAGTTCTAAATGGCTGATCTTTTATTCTGAGAATATGGTCCCCAGTGCTTGATGACTTCTGTTAGGTCACCCCTCATCCTTTGATGTTCAGGGGAAAACAAATAAGTTTGCCCAATCTCTCCTCATAGCATATACCTTCTAAACCAGACAACATCCTGGTAAACTATTTCTGAACGCTCACCAAAGTCTCCACATCCTCTGGTAGTGTGGCGACCACAACAGTACACAATATTCCAAATGTAGCCTAACTAAAGTGTTATACAGCTGCAACATGGTTTGCCAGTTTTTATACTCTGTGCCCTGACTGATGAAGGCAAGTATGGCATATGCCTTCTTGATGACCTAATTCACTTGTGTCGCCATTTTCAGGGAACTGTGGACCTGTAGGCCTAGATCCCTCTGCATGTTGAGTCTTGTAAGGGTTCTGCCATTTACTGTATATTTCTCTCCTATATCAGATTTTCCAAAATGCATCAGCTTGTCTTTGACCAGATTAAACTCCACCTGCTACTTATATACCCAAATCTTCAGCCTGTCTATATCCTGCTGTATTTTCTGGCTCCTCTTGATCCTCCTCACTATCTGCAGCTCCCCCAACCATTGTGTTGTCCACACACTTGCTAATCAGGCTATCTGTGTTCTCCTTAAAATATTATAATGTCTTGTTCCAGCAATGATCCCTGCGGAACACCACTTAGTCACATCTCAAGTCAGAAAAACACTCTTCCACTGCTACTGTCTTCTATGACTAAGCTAGTTCTGTATCCATCCTACCAGCTCACTGTGTGACTTCACCTTTTGTAATAGCCAGCCATGAAGGACCTTGTCAAAGGCCTTGCTAAAGTCCACATAGACAACATCTACTGCCCTGCCCTCATCAATCATCTTTGTCACTTCCTCAAAAAATTATGTTTGTGAGACATGACCTTCCATGGACTTATTGCTGCTTGTTGCTAATAAATCCATATTTTCCAAGTGTGAGTAAATCCTATCCCTAAGAATCTTGTCCTTACCACTGGCATAAGGCTCACTGGCCTGTAATTTCCCAGGTTATCCCTGTTTCCCTTAAACAAGGGAACAACATTGATTGTTCTCTAGTCCTCAGGGACCTCTCCTGTGACTAAAGAGGGTAGAAAGATTTCGTACTAGGCCTCAGCAATTTCCTCACCTGCATCCCTTGGCATCTGGGATAGATCCCATCAGGTCTTAAGGACTTGTCTACTTTAATGCTTTTCAAAACACTCAACATCTTTTTTATATTGACAAAACCAAGAATATCACCATCCACCATGTCTGTCTCTCAGTGAATACTGATGCAAAGTATTTGTTAAGGACCTCACCCTCTTCTTCCCAGGCTCCATGCATAAATTCCCTTCTTGTCCTTGAGTAAACCTACCCTTTCTCTAGCTACCCCCTTGCTCTGTATATAAAATGCCTTGGGTTTCCTTGATTCTGTTTGCCAAAGACATTTCATGGCACCTCTTTAGCCCTCTTAATTCCTTGTTTAAGTTCTTTCCTGCTATCTTTATATTCTTCAAGGGCTCTGTCTCTTAGTTTCCTAAACCTTCCATATGTCTCCTTTTTCAATTTGACTGAGCTTTCAGTTTCTCTTGTCATCCAAGGTTCCTAAATCTTGCCATCCTTCTCCTTCAGTTTCATAGGAATGCGCTGGTCCTGACCTCTGATCAACTAGTTTTAAAAAGATTCCCACATACTACATGTGGATTTACCCTCAAACAGCTGCCCCAATCTACATTTCCCAGTTCTTGCCCAATATTGTGGTGGTTAGCCTTCCCCCAATTTAGTACTTTGGCACGATAATCTTCCTTCAATGTTAGATTGGTGGCATAAGATTGGAGGATAGTGCAGATTACACACTCATTCAGAAGGAGTAAAAGGATAAACCTGGAAATTACGGACCAGTCAGAAGAACCTAACAACATAATGTCAGTGATGGGGCAAGCTTTTACAAACATTTATCTGTGAGAAAATTAACAGCCACTTGAACAGACCAATGTAATAACTAAACACTATTTGCTAGTTTTATTTTAAATGGCATGTTGTTTGATGGAATAAGAAGATATGAGGCCAGTGTAGTTGCTGTTGTGTGAATGAAATTTCAAAAGGCACTTGAACTTTGTTATCAACACCAAGTTCAAGTGCGTGTGATATAAGGGGCGGTAGAAGCATGTATAAAAACTTGACTAACAGATAAAAAATAGAGTTACGAATAGCTCATTTTATTTTGGATTGTGTGGTGGTATATTTCGATATGACTCGGGGTTTACTATTAGGGCGTTGCTGTTTTTAATTTACATTAATGGCTTGGACTTGGGATGCAAGGCACTTGTCTGAATTTTGATATGACCCAAAACTTGGTGTGTAGTAGACAGTGAACAAGATGGTACGAAAACAAAGTTGCTGGAAAAGCTCAGCAGGTCTGGCAGCATCTGTGAGGGAGAAAACAGTTAACGTTTCAGGTCCAGTGACCCATCCTCAGAACTGATGGTGGCTGAGAAAACGTCAGTTTATATGCAGAAAATAGGGAGGTGGGTGGGGTAGGGAGTAAATGATAGGATAGAGCCCAAAGAGAGAGAAAGACAGTTGGACAGACAAAGGAGTTGCTAACGATCAGGCTGGGAGGGTGGATAGTTGTTAATGGGGACTGTTAGTGACTAACAACAGGGGGTGTGTAATGGCAGGCAATGTGGTAACAAGGCCTGGTATGTGGGGTGGGGGGCTGGGACATGGGAGAGTTTAGGCCCTAAAATTATTGAACTCAATATTGAGTCCGGAGGACTGTAGGGTTCCCAAGCGGAAAATGAGGTGTTGTTCCTCCAGATTGCGTTGGGCTTTGCTGGAACACTGATTAACACTGGATTCACTGGAACACTGTGTTAACTGATATTATGAGAGAAGCTCCGCCAATCAGGATTTAGAGGATTGTTCCTGGGAAGAAACCAGAGTTGTTGTTGTTCAGTTGTCTCTAAATTGTGTATTGGAATATTTCAGTTGCATTAGTATGTAGTTAGTCTTAAAGTTCGTCTTAAATTGATGTCACACATTAATGTAGGTAGATAATTAGCACTACGTTACAAACCTTTACTGTTTATCAAGAATGAGCTTATCTTGTGCTGAAGATGACATGTGGGCATCCTTCCCCATTTGGTACATTGAGACTAACAACAATATGAAGGATTGGTGGAAGTGAACCTACCAGAGACAGCTCAGATGGTTCAAACATACAACTATAAGATGTTGCCAGTGATGGTCATCTGGCAGCATAATTTAGCTGCATCATATTATAAGCATTTCTACTAGTTCAGTGGTCTAGGATTAAGGGCTACTTTAAACATTTGAGCTAGAGCTTTCAGTATTGAAATTGGGAAATATGTCTTTGGGCAAAGGGAGATAAATATTTTGAACTCTTTCCACGAATGCTAATTAATTGTTAATCTTAAAATTAAGATTTGAGTAATAAAAATCCAAAGTATTAAATGATATGGAGCAAAGCTAAGTATCTGGAGTTAATTTTCCAATCAACCATGATCTCATTAAAAGGGAGAAAAGCCTGTGGCTAACTGAATCCTGTTCCTCAGAGTTCGTAAGGAAGAAAAGGGATTTAAAAACTATTCCTTTGTTTGTATGTGTTTCAGCACGTACTGTTCAATATCAAGAAAATTAGAAACACTACTTTTAAAGGTTGCAGTTTGAGGGATTTGGAAAATTCTGGAAAATGTGCAATTTGACTGCAACCTTTCATCTGTTTCTTGTGGTGGGCCCTAACTAACTTCAGTTTTTGGATTTTCATTTTAAGAGGATTTTAATGTTTTGTGCTAGCTGCAGCGTCCGTAATTCAGCCACTGAAACTTGGGTTTGAGGACCTTTTCTGGTTTGGCAGAATGTGTTTGTAAGGTATGATGTAACAGGGCCATGTAGTGGTAAGAAACTGATATTGCATCTCCTGTGTTATTTTACAGTCAAAGCTGCCTCCTGCCTAATCATAATAAGCATTTACATCTACACACCACCAAGCACTTTGCTTCTGTTGTAAATTATTGTTATTTTGGTAATGAATGATATTTATCATCTTACTACTTTTATTCTCTTCTTTCCTCCTGTCTAGGGAGAAGTCCTGTACAAATGATGACGATTCCCATTCTTCTGTTGGAACCATGCCATGCCAAGGAAACCTTCCCTCGGGTCCAGGTCTGACATCCCCACCTTACACAGCCACTCCGATTGACCACGATTACATCAAACGTAAAATCCCCCGTCAGCAGGCTTCAATTGATGGTATTTTTCTTGTTTTAGATAATGGCAAACTTGGGAGGTGGTTAATAATCGGGGCAATCATAAGTGGTGAATTCTGTTAAATGCACAACACTGGGTGATGGTGCATAGGAAAATGGGCAATATGGCTGCTATTTAGCTTCTTAAAAATGATGTTTTCTCAATTAGGTTTCTTTTAAATTTTCCTTGGTGCTTGCTGGGATTGTTATTGGCTTATTTGAGTGTCTGCTGCTTTGCTTGTTTTTGTGTGATTTGCAATTTGGCTGCATTCAGTGCCATTACAAGAATCATTATAAACAACAAATTTTTACAGAATGATGACAGTACTGGCCATTGTTTACAGTTCTCTGATCCAAGTCTGAAAAACGGCGTGTTCTTCTGTAAAGGCCAACAGACACTCACTTCAACTCAGTGGCTTTGTGATGATGTCTGCATCTGCCATTTGAGTTGGTACAGTTTGTAAATGCTGCAGTTGCCACATAAGCCTGTTGTGCATGCTTTGTGTCTTGCTATAGTTCTACGTGGTCCTGTGATTTTTATTTTCTTGGTATACATTTATCCATGGCCTTTCATGTATGTTTGCTAATTAAGCATCCAGATCTGATCCATGCTCTGATGATAGTAAGATCAACATTTTGATCATTTACCATCCTGATTCATTTTAGTCTGTACCCTTACTCACCAAATGTGAGGAGAGTTGAGTGAAGGGAATCAGAGATTCTAATCTTAAATTTAGATATTTTAGATTGCTAATGATTTTTCCAGTTGAAGTTTTAGGATTAATTTAGAATGTAACACTTGACATTCAAAGAATAGTATTGCTGAATTTGGCAGTGTATTTTAGTATTTAACAATTTTACGTAGACTAAGGTTTTTTAATTGGTTTTGTAGTTCGTTAGTTTAAGGAATCTGTGGATCGGGTTAATTTTATTCTGGGCAGCCTCCTGTTTAAGTGCAGCACTGGTATTTTAATTCTCAACCCTTACATTTGAGTAAAAGTATTTTTGTTGATTCAAACTCCAAGAGACTGCTCCAGTCTCATTCATGCTGGTTCACATCATGTGGTCATTTATTTTTCCACGAGTAAATAGTTTGAGTAGTGGATCTAAGGGCTGGAGGAATATACCATTAATAGTGAGTTTGACGCAGTGAATTTTTGTTGGTCCTCGGAGCAAATTACTGCAGATGCTGGAATCTGTACTGAAAGCAAAAAATGCTGGAAATCATAGTGAGTCAGGCAGCATCCGTGGAGAGAAAACAAGCTAACGTTTCGTGTCTAGATGACTCTTCATGATGAAGCGTCATCTAGACTCGAACTGTTAGCTTGTTCTCTCTCCACAGATGTTGTCTGATCCGCTGTGATCTCCAGCATTTTAGTTTTCCCTAATTGGGCAATATCTGAAAACTGTACTACTTTAAGTTACTGAATTGAGATTACTTGATAACTGCTGCTTAAAGTTTGGTGTATCACTGCATTTTAGGTTTTAAAATCTTTAGAAGGGATGAACAACATTTCCATCAGGTTTTGTGGGATTTTTCAGTAGAGTGCAGAGAAGAGAGGTAGTCAGATACTGATTAGTTTTCTTCTTTCAAAGACACATTACGCCAAGATCATTACCAAGCTAGGCCAATGCATCAAAACAATAGAGGAGCAAGGAAAGAGAAGCCAAGTCCTGTAATTGAGTGCATTAACAAAGTGAAAGAGCTGGGTGGACTAAGTAAATGACCTACAGATTTGAGTTTTAAAAGTCTGCAGATATGAATGTCAATGAAATCACAGATATATGGAGCTCTGTTGTTTGAAATGTTTGGGGAAAATAAAAATAGGAGATGGCATGATCTGTTGGATTTCAACATACTGAGATTAAGTGCGACCAGGACATGTGGGATGACTGTGGCAAAGAGAGAGGAGAGTGTATAGCGCTGTGAGTTAGTGGCTTAGAGGGAACAAATAGGTAGAGGTCAGATATCAATTATATTTACAGAAAAAGGTAAAGGTAGAAACAGTGAGAAAGGAGAGAAATTGAAATTGAAGACTGGAACTGAGAGATGGGGATTGTTTGCCAGACAATTTTATTTTTTGCAATCTTTTACATGGTTGATTACACTATCCTCCAATATTGCCTCTTCTCTGTTGCAAAGCTGGAAGGGACTGCACTTTTCTCTTGGTTAACTGTCCAATCACAGTCAAAAGAATCACCTGCTGTAACCTCTGCAGCCTCCTCAGTTTCTATCCTTTTTTTGTGCTTCCATGAAGTGGGGATTTGGGATGCTTTGTCATCTTAAAGGTGCTATATAAATACGTATTGTTGTTGTATCCTGTCAGACATGTTTGAGCCAGATATGGAAGCAGTAGTAAAGTCAAACTTTTCTGTTTATCCGGAGGTAGATGTGTAAGGGATTTGTCGTGAATCAGGAAGCAATTTCTCAGGAACAGCTTTAGTAATGGCAGAGTTCCAGAGAGGTCAGAAGTGATGTTGGGAAATATTGACAAAGGGCACTAGAACAGCACCATTAAAAGTTTAAAAAATGGCACCTTTAAGGTCAAAGAGAACCAGAGGAAGTGAAGACAGCTTTTATTATTCCACTGAAGATAAAGATATAGTATCATGGCCATTACTCTGGACACTGAAGGTTGTAAACTTAAAAGGGGACATGAAAGCCAAGGTAAAGGAAAATCCTAAATTGTTTTACAAATACGTAAAGGGTAAAAGAGTAATGAGGGAAAGAGTAGGGCCCATTTTGGACCATGGTGGCAATTTGTGCATGGAGCCAGAGGATGTGAGTTCTAAATGAATACTTTGGGTCAAAGCTCACTAATGAGAGGGACGATACGGGTATAGAAGTCAGCGAGAAGGACTGTGATATAATTAAAGCAATTAACATAGGAGCAGAGGAGATTTTTTTATCATAGATCATAGAATCCCTACAGTGTGGAGATTACCAGGATGTTACCTGGGCTAGAGAGTTTCAGTTATGAAGAGAGATTGGACAGACTGGGGTTGTTTTCCTTAGAGCAGAGGAGATTGAGAGGGGACATGATTAAGATGTGTAAAATTGAGGGGCATGGATATTGTGGACAGGAAGAGATGTTTCCCTTTGAAGTGTCCTCCTTGAAGAAAAGGAAGGATCAATGACCAGGAGCATAGATTTAAGGAAAGGGGCAGAAGGTTTTGAGGAGATGTGAGAAAAAACTTCTTCACCCAAAGGTTGGTGGAAATCTGGAACTCCCTGCTTGTGAGATGAATGTAGGTGGAGGTAGAAATCCTCATAATATTTAAGAAGCATTTAGATGTGCCCATGTGATGTCTAGGCATGCAAGGCTATGGGCCGCATGCTGGAAAACGGGGACAGGATAGTTAAGTGGTTGTTTTTGACTTGTATGATGAGTGAAAGACCCTTTTTTTTTCGTGCAGCACATTTCTATGACTCTTAACGTGCAGTGAACAGTGCGCTTTAGTGTTGGTTGATGTAGGGAAAAGGTCATTTTGTTATGTGAAAGAAAATAAAATTGTAGAGTGTGGGGAGGGGAGTGGGCGCGGAATTAGGAGAAGATTGTGGACTGCATTAATGCAGTCTCTGACCTCTCTCCTACAGCACACTGATTTCAGAGGAAAATGGATACCTGTAAGCATACTTTTGCATTGGGCATGCAATACCTTAATGATTATCTTAATTCTGTAATGGGTGTGGGTATTGCACTGCATGCAATTTTAATTGATGCTCTTCGCCTGTGCTTTCTGGCTATTTATGTTGGAGACTATGAACCTTTGCTCCTTCTGATGAGGGTACATGTTTCAACTGTTACCCTCTCAAAGCTTGCTGTGCTGTAAATATGCTTGTAAATGCTCTTCTGTTAGTTCCATTATAAGCAATAGATTCCATTATTTGTTCTATAGTTTTTGTCAAGTCATCAACGGTTCTTTGCACCATCTTCACAACTCCTCATGCACTCCTTTGTCAGGCTGGTCTTCTAACACTGTTCTTTTTGCTTCAGCGCAACCAATCCTGCACTTTTCGTCTTAATCTCTTATCACTAGTTCTCGATGGCTCCTTATTCTATGGTAAAGCAGTTCAAAATCATTAATCTCATTAAATGGACATTTGCTCAAACTCAACTTTGGGCTTCTCCAGTCGACATGGAGTGCATTTTTTGCTTTTCTATTTCTCATTTCCTTTGAGTTTCCCCCTTCCCTGAGCATTACTGTTTCATCTTGGCTTCAGCTCTCAAACATGCTAAGTCACTTTCCTTCTTCAAAAGCTTTTTCTGTGTACTGTTGAACTGTGTTTTGGCCACCTTGCAGAACACGCCTCTAGTGTTCCACAGCCATATTTGCTCTGTTGTACCTTGGGTTGTCTTGCCTTGCAATGTGTGATGTTGCACACGTTTGATTTATTCCTAATCCTACCTCCCCTACTCCCGTCCATTGTCTGAGGAACATTTCCATAGTAATAGTTGTTTTCTTGTTTATATGCATCTTCCAGCTGTCCAACCAGCAGATGCAAATTCCATCCTTTTCTAGTGTCAATGTTCTATTTTTTTAATAAGCCGATATTTCTTCCTTTGCATCAACTCTTTACTGTAAGAAATTCCTGTTGTTTACTATGCCGCAACCATGAATCTGTCTTTGATTCTCCTAATGTTCCCCATAATTATATTATCTGGGTTACTGTTATTACATTTGGTTATAGATGTTTTATTGACTACTTCCAGTCTGTAATTCTTTTGAGTCATTTGTTTTTCATTGCAACAACCGACTTTGAAATTCTGGCTTGTTGTTCCTGGATTCCCATTAATACTTTACTTTTATATTCTGTTTTTGTTTGTGTGCCATTGTTTCAGCTTATAAAATGCACCCAGTTTTCTAAATGAAGGATAGAAGCAAAATGATGTCTTGAACATGGATAATTGCCAATTTAGACACTGATCCCAACATTCTTTGTTTTGGTTTTCTTTCTGGATAATTGACCTTCTTACCACTTCAAAATGAATGACCATTATG